TTCTCAGAAAGAGAGAGAGAGACACAGAGAAATACAGAAAGCAGAACACAGTGTGTGAACAGCTCATTCTCATAATAACATCTCAGATAAGACATACAAGTCTTATATCTACAGATGTAAAAGAGTACAACATCTGCATTCTCATTTCTGAAAACACAGATATCTTTCACCTGTATCATGAAGTCAGATAACAGATATTAAAGAATAGGTCAATACAGATCTATTATTCTGAAGAAATTTATCAGAGCAGATATTCTCACAATATTGAACTTTATAATTATGAAAAGCTTCTTAATGTCTGTGAATATTACAACTTCATACACAGTAAAACTTATAATGATTTTCTCTAAGAACAGAAAAATCAGCATCAGAAAGAAAAGATGAAAAAGAAAAAGACTTATAATCTTAATACTGTTAAGAAGAGAGATAATTCTCTGAGATAAATAGATAATTATCTTATCATGAATATTTAAAATAAACATAATAATCAGTGTCTGTGATTAAACTTCAGATAGTTATGTCATATATTATCTTCATATAATAAATCATTCTAGAGGTCAGTAAGAAGAATGAGAGTGTATATACTAAGAAACATGATTCACTGAGTCTATACAACATCTTCTTGAAACAGAGAGAGCTAGTAAGAAAGACAGAGACAGTAAAACCAGAAGTAGCAGAAGTAGAGGTCGCGGGAACAGAGGTAGCAGAAGTGAAAGAATCAGACACAGAGATAAGTGTAGAAGATTGAGAGAAAGTAGCAGAGAAAGAAGTAGCAGAAGAGATAGAGAAGAACACTGAAGATCTGATTATATATAATATGAGTAATTTCTTCATTATCATATTCTCTAAGTTCTTGATCAATGATTCAATACTGAGTTCACTATCATCAGTGAATACAGATCTGTTAACATGTGATGATTCTATACAAATAAAAACAAATATATCAGTATCTGCATTTATACAAAATCATGTCAGAAAACACAATCAGAAACTCACTGAGAAGAAGAAACAGTTAAGAGTATATAAGAAGATGAAGAAGATGTGTTATTATTCATGATAATACATCATTCTAATGATTGTTAGAAGATAAACAAGTTCTGATCATATATATTTCACAATGTGTTATACTTACTGCTAACAAACTGCTCAGTATGAGCACTATGAGAACACTTGTTGTGAAAACAGAGAGTCATTGCCAGGAACACATATAACATAATAGATAAATAGATGAAAAGAGTTGAACAGAAGAAGAAGTAGAGATCTTGAATGAGATGATAACATTCAATGATGACAATGATGAAGATAATAATTGAAGAATGAAAAAAGTTAGTGAATGAGTGATATAATATAGTGAAAGTTTCTTTGTAAGAGTGTATACAGAACACTAGTTAAATTAAAGATAGATTATACAATCATGAGATACTAGTGATGAGCTAATCTGCATGAAGCTAGAACATATAACATGATCACATAAGTGTGACTGAATCTGGTGAGAGAGAATGTGATTTAGAAGAATATACAACTGTCAGATAATAACACAGCTACTTCTGAACTACTAGCATACAAATGTAAAGAGGGTTCTAGCGGCCACTAATTAATTTAGCATATGAGATTCAATATATAAGAAGCCGGTGTATGCCTGTAATCGTACGCTGGCTTAAGCAACCTTTGAATCATAATAATAAGTAGAAAAAGTTTTTTTCTTTTTATATTAGTTAGTTATAAGTTCATAATTATTAATAATTGAAATTAATTTTGAGTTTTTAAAAATTATTGTACAAGTTGTAATCAAGTCAGGAACAATATATATATATATATATATATTTAACTATCATAATTCATAAATCACTATAATGTATAACTATTAATATTTTTTCAACATTGATATTTATAATATTAATATATTTTTAATAATATTATCTGATAATACAATTTAGTAACACTCTCTTTCACAATATTAATATATTTCAAGAAATATGACAGAGATTAATTAAGATTGTTTATTTACTTTTATATATTAATGATATTCAATTTAAGTTAGTACTAAAATTATAACTAAGCTAAGAAATAAGATTATTTTCTCTTATATTAATTCTTTTTATACACATCAGTGATTAGTTATTGAAAATAAATTATTATCTTTCTTAAATTATAATTATATCTTCTGAATTTACTTCTTTCACTTCTTTTACTTCTATTAAAGATTCACAAACTCTTCAAGAAATCACTGTGAAATACAAAGTCTATATTATTTACAATTTAACACAGAATGCTCTCTTTCAATTATAATGAATAATTACTTCATTCTTCATATCTGATTTCAGATCATGAAATTTATGAAAAACTCAACACAAACACTGAGATGAACTATGAAATAATTATTAATAGATTATATTGCAGATTACTGAAGAGTTATCTCTCTGCTATAATCACTATAACTTTATTCAAAAATATTTATTATAAACTGATTATAGCTCTAGAGGAATTTTCTGATATCTGAAGTCATCAGAATGCAGATAATAAAAGAAAAATAATTAGAAAATTACTACTGAGCTGATAAGTTACTCTATTAGATAACAATTTTTAATAATACTAACTTTCTAATTTGAAGAAAATTATGTGAAAACAATCTTGTATCAGTACTCTGATTTCATAACTCTCATCTGATAACTTCTGTGAATAATTACTTTATATATATATATCTCTGAATCTTTCTCTTCAATTAATTGAAAACTCTGAATTCTGAACACTTTTTTAAATACTTAATTTAAATCTTTATATTTCACATCAATTCTGTCTTCAGTTCAATCTTGAGACACACTACAAAGTTAATATATAATATCTAGAATCAGAGTTAAAGAATCATTGAAGAGTGTCTCTTATAGTGAATGTATGAACTAGTACAAACAATCTTATATTTATAAGAGTTACATGTTATTATATTGATAAGAACTGAACTTATTAAGAGATATTAATTAAATTTGAATCATTGATCAGTAGTCATACTGAGAATTATATAACAGAGATATTAATAACTGTAATTAAAAATAACTATTGAGATATTAGTCTCAGTCTTCTTATAATTATAACTGATAATACTGTGAATAACTACACTATGATAAAGAGCTTGAAGCAAAAATTAGCTTTATATTTCTGAAATGATAAACAAGGTTATATTCTCTGTATTACTCATGTGATTCAACTTATGATGTAGATACTAGTAAAGAATCTTAATATCAAGATAAAGAATAATAAGATGATTAATTCTTGAGATAAGAATGAGATGAAAGTGATTACTTAAGTAACTTTTATATTCACTTTGTAAAAGATAATGTTTTTTAACAACACTTTTTAATATTACTTTTTAATAATGCTTTTTAATAACACTACTATTAATTTTGAATAGATTGACTAATAATTTAAATATCATAGATTTAAAACATTATTAATACAATTTGTATCTCTTTTAAATAATAATAATAATTTCATAATATTGAATAAATAAATAAATCAGTCATATCACTGAATATGACACAGAATATTAGAATATGATGAAGTTCAATATATAAGATAACTGTTTAGACTCTTTAATTATATCAGATAATTGATCATTGAATATAATACTCTGATTAGAAAAAGATTCAAATATTAAAACTCTCTGATATAAAGTAAACTCAGTTGAAATATATGATTGATTTACTGTTTCAGTTTTATAAAATAATAAAAACAGTCTTAATTACTCATATATCAATACTGTAGTCAGTCTGATAAATATATAACAGTTTATTTACTTATCTTGAGAAGCAGTTGAATCACTTAAAAAGAAATTCAGTCTGAGATAATACTATAGTACAGACTATTATTACTGTAAGAGATAAACTAGCATATTACTACAGTAAAATGAAACAATCTTTTACAGAGTACTATACTATAGTAGCTCTACTAGATCTCTTTCATTAAGTTAATATCTATACTTGTCAAGATTGAATAGAGAAGAAATGAGACTTATATATTAAATTAATCTAAGACTACTATAATATCAACTATCAGAGATTTGAATAAACAGATATTTAAGATGTGAAGATAGTGAAATATAATCCTCTAATAAGTAATAATCTTTGATAACACTTCATATTATATAGAACTATAATACTAACTTTGAAACAGAACTTACATACATTAATTACAACTGAAAATCAGACAAAACTATATACTTATAAAACTGAATTTAATTGCTATCTTCAAGATAATTCAATAAATTTATATATTAAATCAATTCTAGAGTTATGAAAAATTGTTAAGAGTATATATTTAACTGTTATACTGATGATATGTGATATTCTGATAATTTCATTAATAAAGATGAGAATGAAGTGAAAGTTTAACTCAAGTTGAGATATTTATCACTATTATTGAGAATAATTATAAGAAGAAATAATTAAGAAACTCATGATTGTAAAATATGAAATTATCAGACAGTTTAATATGTCTGATTACAGTATATCAGAGAAGTGTAGTTTTTATAAGAAAGTGAAGAATAAACTTATATAAGAATATATTTAATTATTTCATAAGTGTTATCAATAATTATTATCAAATTCTGATTATATAAGTAATCACTGACAGTCTCATTCTAATTTTAAAAGAATGATAATCTTTCATAGTTTATTCTGAGAAATTACTTTTATTTCACTGTTCTTGAAATAAATCTGATCATTTTTCATGTCATTTCTCTCAGAAATGATTCATTTTCAGATGTTTTTAAGACTTGATTCTGATGAAACTCACATCAAGAAATGTATGAGATCAGATTAAATGAGATTAAATGTGAAATTCATAATCTCAGCGGCCAGTCTAACTGAGATAGTATAAGACTACTATTTAATATTAAAACTATGTAATGAGATCAGTTAAATTAGTAATAAAACTATTAAAAATTCTGGTTCTAGTCTTAGATATAATTACACAGTCAGTCTAGTTCTATCAGAGTATTTATAGATTCACTATTAAAGAAATCTGATAATATTATAATCTTTACTAATTTAATAACTACTTACTCACTGAATCTATCTTTATTCAAAATTTCATATTCTAAATAAGTTATTAAGTTAAATAAATATCTACAGAATTAGCTGTATATTTTTATGTGTAATTTTCTATATATATTTTCATCATATAATATATCACCTTAAAATCTAATTGCATTGTTGAGATATCATTGAAAATATTTCATCATAGTGATGGCGAAATGCCGGGCGTTGGGTGTAAGCAGGTGTTGGGTGGTTGGTCATGTTACTGTGTCAGAACAGTAGATTCACTATTCTGAAAAATTCTCAATTTACAGCATAGTAGTAACCACCAACACTATGCTAGCTCACGTGCTTCTCTCCAAGTGAATACAGGCTCTAATGTCATTAAGTCATCACTCAATTGCCCACGCTGTATGAATATGTTGGATATTTAGCCACCACCAGTTCCCCACGGGCCAATTGCAACCCTCTCCTCGGACAAAATCTCCAGCTCAATCGTATCATGCACCTGGCTCCCAAGACCCCCAACCCGCTCCACAACAAGCCACAGACCCCCCCGCTGTTCGAAATCCGGCTGCAAATCGAAGTCCTCGATGCGTATCCCACTGACAGCATTGCTAAAGCTTCCATCGCCAGATGATGAGAGTATACCCTTATACGGGCCCTGTCCTAGCTCAAGGGTCATTAGAATCGGAGACGGGGCGACACTTCGGGTTCCCATCCACGAGCCCTTATGCCTCACAATGGCAGTGATTCTGGCCAGTCGGGAAGTGGTAATGGGTGCAAGAATCCTATTCGTGCCCGGTGGGAATATGCCAATGTCGGACACTATGCTCAACTGCCCAGCTCCCTCGGCAGGGAGTGGCTTTACGATGCATGGCTTGGTCGTTTTGATCAACAGGGTAAACTTTCCAGGCTGGTTGGGCGCAAACGTAGAGCACACAGCGGTAAATGAGCCGTTGGTTAGGCCGAAATGTTCAGCAAAGGCGCAGCCCCGGCGGTAATCTCCGCTATCAAAAACAACGTCTCGAGACCGGACATTGGAAACACGCTTGCCTTCTGACCACATGACCTTGACGTGCGCAGCTAGTTCGGGGTCTTCAGTCTCAAGTATGACAGAAATATTGCAGGGCTCTAAGATATCGATCCTAAACTGCGGATTTGTCGGATACCTTGCCGAGTCTGTGTTGCCTCCAGCTGTTGATGTTGTCCATGCACCAGGTAACTTTCTAACATGCCCGTATTCCTCCGTAGCGTGTGAAATAGATAGGGGAGCCGTAGAGAATCCCGATAAAGAGAAATTCTGGCTCACCCTCGGCAAGGACTGTTCTGCAGCCACAACGGTGTAAACAGTGTTTGGAGGCATCTCAAACCTCATCAATGTGTTCGGCGAATCGACATACGGGCCCCGGCGGAAGGACCCATCGCTCACACAGGTTCTCTGGCCATCCTTTTTGAAAACGTAGAGGCTAATAAAGCCAGGTTCATTATTTTCACAGGAAACGTCTATAAGTTTATTCCCAGTTCCGATGTAGTCGCCAGAATGGAAATGTCGACTTAGCAGGAGCCAAACAGAGCCTCCCGCTTTGGAGCCTACCGCAAACTGTGGATTTCTAGCTAGGTAGCCGGGAACGGAACTGGCAGAAGAAAGATCCCAAGTAAAATGGATATCCTGTCGGTAGGAAAAGAGCGTCGGGTTCCAATTTAAGTATAAGTTTTCGAAATTCTGAAGCAATTTGTCACAATCTGTCCAGAATGTTCCTGGGGAGAGTGTCCGATGAGATTGCTGCCGGTCGGCGTTATTTTCTCCGTCGCCTTCAGCAGGAACAGGAGGGTGGGATTGTCCAATCCCTTTCCAAATAGAGCCAGCTGCCCAGGGATTCTTAACGAGGAATTGGCGACGGCCGTTAACTTCCTGCATATCAAGTATTGCATAGTCATGCACGCTCACAAGTCCAAGTTCCTCTTCTTCCCGTTCAGTTAATGATCCCGTACCAACAGTGATTAATACATCACCGTAGTTAAATGCATTAAACAACCTTTTCCACAGCTGATCAGGGATGACATCCTCATCATGTAAAAATATTTGTTCCGGAATCCAGCCGGTGAGGATCCAAAGATCCGTCCCAGAATTACTTCCAGGGAAATCATAGCCTCCTCTAACCTTCAAGTACGCCTTTTCGACCAGCGCTGGCCATAGGAGAGCAGGGTTTTTCCTATCGATGACATGAAGGAACCTCGGCGTTTTGGAGGAGGGGAGTCGATCGTCAATTACAACTTTCCGGTAGCATCCATTAAAATGCATTCGAAAAATGTATTTCCCAGATTGTGACAGCTTTGGGGTGAAGGTCTCTTCTTCTGACGGGTAAAACTTAATCACAGAGGTCTTTTGTTATAAATACCCAATTCTTAGCGGTGTTTCCGTCATGATTATCGGAGCTTCATTAGTGTAAAAGAATAAAGTCATACCTTGGAATATCCTCTTTCTACCTGGGAGATAGCGGCGCAAAGGCTCGCAACAACGGAACAATCTGTCGTAACATCCTGCACCAAATCTATAGGATGTATAGCTCCCATAACTGGGGTAGGACTCCCCCGATCATCTTTATTAGCCTCTCCAGTACCCAGAATCTCTGCAGGCCGTTTCCAGCCATTGAAAATCTCGAGCTGTAACTCCGAGAGTGGAAGATCGCACGAGTCCCTATAGTGAGGAGGATCAGCCCTTCGTCCTTGTCCGGAAAAAGGGGGGTTTACGATGTCAACGTATACATACGTAAATGGCACATCATCTTCTTCGAGCTCAAATTCACTCGCAGCAGGCACAGCCGACCAAGGTGGAAATACAAAGCCATTCAACTTGGAATCTTCCAGGAGAATGATCTGCTCTCTATTGGAAAGATTCCGTGTCGAAACTGGCTCTCGAAGCCTGGACCCTGCGCTGCTATTCCTACCGCCGTTGTTGGTACGTGTCTGTAGATGCTGACTCCAATATTTCGATTTTTTTATATCCTCTGCCTTTCTAAGAAGCTCTTTGCATTTTGCATCCAGCCTTTGCTTCTCGCTAGGAGAGCTAGCCAGCTTAAGCGCATTCAGATAACTCTCAACTGCGCTGATAGCTGCGTCTAGAGCAGAACTTTGTGTAGAAGCAGTTGTCACATCCCTTTCCGCTTTCTAATTCCACGTGGTCAGCCTGGGTGGTTCCTTTATTTCCTTGTCCTTTAGGAAGAGTAAATGCATGCTCTGGTTGAATGGAGCTATTGTTACAGATGGGGGGCATTTACCCGTGCCTGAATCTCAAGCTCTCGCTGCGTTGAGGAGAGCGGGGGCATCCCGATTCCAACAGAAGGCCACGTCCCAGGAAACAAACCCAACCCGGTATTAAGAGGCGAATGTTTAACTAGTTGGTGCGCATCAGCTTTTGGCGGCTGCAAGGGTCAAGCAAGCGATGACGCTTAAGCGGAGTAGTATGAGGGAAACTTGGTGGATGATAATGCAATACGAAAGACGATGTTGGAGCCCGGTTTGAGCCAGGCGGGTTGGTTGCTATGGTTGGCTTAGTGGCTCCGGGGCAAGACGCTACGGGTACCCAGGCTGGCCGGCGAAAAGCAGAGCCTGAGAACAATAACGAGAAGTGAAGCCCGGAATATCCGAGGTGGTCGGTTTGGGATTAACTAAGGTAATCAACCACCTATAGACTGGCCGCCGGGACCATGAATTTCATTTTTGATTCCATTTGGTCTGGTCCCATACATTTCTTGGTGTGAATCCTGCTGAGACTAGTTATTAAAAAAACATGCAAAGTGACTATATATCAGATCTCAAAATGAAATCATGACTTAAAAAAAATAAGAAAGTGATCTTATTTTATCTCATTTAGTCTTATTCTTGATATAAAGTTACTATTTTTAGATATTTTAAGATTTTTTTAGACTATTTTTAATTTTTTAAAAAATAATGCTTTTTAATAATACTTAAATAAGATTTAAAGTTATTTAAAGTAATAAAAATAATTTAAATTAAGAAGTAAAAATTATAATCTTATTTAAAAAATATAATAAGAGTAAATAGTAAGTCTTACTAAGATAGTATAAGACTACTATTTAATATTAAAACTAAATAATAAGATTAGTTAAATTAATAATAAGACTATTAAAAATTCAGATTCTAATCTTAAATATAATTATATAATCAGTCTACTCATCTAATACTTATCTTTGTAAATTAATTACAATTCACTTTAAATGTTAATATTGTAATAAATATTCATTATTTTAATTTTTTAATTTGTAATTAATAAATATCAAGTGTTGGCCGGATGCTGTATATGAGGTCACGTGACTGACACACCTATTCATTAGAATGCTGCGTGGCTAGATTAGTGTACAATCAATCAATCTTTCATCTTTATCAGGTCATGAGCTCTTGACCGCTCCCGCGCGATTTCAACTACATGCTTTAAAAAGGAGTTGATTCTGTGAGTCTTCTACAACAGTGAATAAGATAAGAACTTGACAGAATAACTAGTAAATGACTAGAATTCACATTCAAAGATTAATAAATGTGGCGGGCTGCGCCTGATCAATTATATAGACTATTTCATTATACTTCACAGATTTCAACTACTTCATTCTCAAACATGTACACGATTCTCAGTCATTCTCAATTGCTGATCCTCAGCCGCTATGAACATGTATGCTTCAATTCTCAGCCATTCTCAATCACTGATTCTCAGCTGTTATAAATATGTATAGATTCTTTCATTCTGAAGCCTCACTGTGTATATTATTATATATGTGTATAAATATTCACTCTGATTACTAATTCTTACACTTTCTCTTTCTTGTCTTCTCTAATGTTTTTCTCTTTATTATATAAGATCTATAATATTATACTGATCTATTTAGTATAAATCTCTTATACTAGAAAAACATTCATCATCTTCTTATTAGACATGATTATTCATACATTATCTTCTCATTAGAAATGATTATTCATTGAGAGATATCTGAATATATAATAATGTATAAGAAAGAGAAATAATCAGTTAAAGTAAATACTGAGTTCTTAGATAGAAGCTTATTTATTAGTTACTCTGATCTTATAATAAGATCTTATAAAGAGAATATTAGTAAAAGATCTAAGAGTTCTGATACTCAGATATATAAGATATTCATATAATTACACTTCTTCAGATTTCATAGATATTATATATCTGATAAAATGATATAATCATGTCTAATAATAATATAAAACTCTTAAATATAAGTACAGATATAATATTATAATGACTCTGAACAATGTTAAAATTACAACAGTAATAGAAAGCAGATATATATACAACTTAATAATATTAATATATAAAGAGATTTAATAATTAACTTATATGATTTCAACATCTATAGAATTGAATATAAAAGCACTGAAGAAATGCTTAGATACTTCTATATATTTCAATACTTTCAATCTTACTCTCTACTCATTATAAAGAATGAAAATGCTTATGAAACTGATTGTAGATAATGATGTTATCAGTTTATTAATTAATGAATATTAATATATTAATGAATAATTAAAGAATTGTATGAAACAGAAGTTTTATTCATGAATAAAAGCATGTGAATCAGTGTTACAAACATCTGATAATATTATCAAATATCTTGATATTCTGTTTCAAGATACTGCTATATAACAGAAAGTATTAGATTGATTATAGAGTGTTTAATAGAGAAACACATCTCTTTCAATATTTATTCCTGACTTTGATATTGTCATTCAAAGGTTGCTTAAGCCAGCATATAATTACAGGCGTACGCCGGCTTCTTATATATTGTAATATCATACGCTAAATTAATTAGTAGCTGCTATGACTCTCTTTACACTTGTACACTAGTTCAGAAGCAGCTGTGTTATTATCTGACAGTCATACATTCTTCTGAACTACATTCTTCCTTACCAGATTCAGTCATGCTCATGTAACTATGTCATACATTCTAGCTTTATGCAAATTAGCTCATCACTAGCATTTCACAATTGTGTGATCTATCTCTGATTCAGCTAGTATTCTGTATACACTCTCACAAAGAAACTTTCACTATATTACATCACTCATTCACTAACTTTTCTCATTCTTCAATTATCTTCTTCATTATCATCATCATTGAATGTTACTATCTTATTCAAGATTTCTATTTCTTCTTCTATTCAACTCTTTCTATCTGTTCATCTATCATATTATACATGTTTCTGACAATGACCTCTCATTTCCACAATAAGCATTATTATAGTGCTCATATCAGACAGTTCATTAGCAGTAAGTGTAATACATTGTGAAATGTGATCAGAACTTGTTTATCTTCTAATAATTGTCAGAATATATTATCATGAATGACACATCTTCTTCATCTTCTTATACATCTCTGACTGTTTTCTTCAGTGAGTTTCTAATCATGTTTTCTGGCATGATTTTGTGTGAACACAGATGCTGATATATTTATTTTTATTTATATAGAATCTTCATGTGTTGACAGATCTGCATCTGTTAATAATAGTGAACTCAATGTTGAATCATTGATCAAGAACTTAGAGAACATGATAATGAAGAAATTATCTATATTATCTATAACTGAGTGTTCTGTGTCTCTTTCTACTTCTTCTGCTACTTCTTCTCCTGCTACTTTCTCTCAATCTTCTACACTTATCTCTGTGTCTGATTCTCTCACTCTCTCTACTCCTGTTCCCGCAACCTTTACTTCTGCTACTTCTGGTTTTACTGTCTCTGCTTTCATTACCAGCTCTTCTCATTTCAAGAAGATGTTCTATAGACTTAATAAATCATATCTCTCAGTATATACACTTCTGTTCTTCTTATCAACTCTTAGAATAATTTATTATATAAAGACTATGTATAATATAACTATCTGAAGATCAGTCACAGACACTGATTATTATATTTATTTTAAATATTTATAATGAAGTAATTATTCATTTATATCAGAGAATCACTCTCTCTTTTAACAGTGTTAAGATTATAAGTCTTTTTCTTTTTCATCTTTTCTTTCTAATACTGATTTTTCTGTTCTTAGAAAAAATTATTATGAGTTTTACTGTGTATAAAGTTATGATATTCACAGATATCAAGAAGCTTTTCATAACTGTAAAGTTCAATATTATAAAAATATTCATTCTAATAAATTTCTTCAGAATAATAGATCTGTATCAGTCTATTCTCTAGTATCTATTATTCAACTTTGTGATACAGATGAAAGATATCTGTGTTTTCAGAAACAGAAATATAAATATCATACTCTTTTACATCTGTGAGTGTGAGACTTGTACATTTTATCTGAGATATTATTATAGAAATGAGCTGTTCACACACTGTATTCTGCTTTCTACATTTCTCTGTGTCTTTCTCTCTCTTTCTGAGAAGCCTTGTGTGTGTTGTAATTATGTGTACAATTCTAAGATCAGCAGGTGTTTATTTAGTAATTGTTATCTCTGCTTTTATAATTTCATATGCTAATAATAGTTCTTAGTTACTTCAGTGTCAGAGACTATTTTAATTGAAGATGATAATGCTGCTGAGACTACTCTCTCTCACTCTCAAGCTTCTTCTATTACTTTCTCTCTCTCTTCTGCAGAGAAGGTTATATACACACTGAGTTATAAGTGTTCAGTTCTGAGTGACTTCTGTTATTTATCTGATTCTGCATCTCTCTCTTCTGTTTCTTCTGTCTCTATTCTCTCTGCTCTGACTTCTGATTCTGTGAATTCTGTACTCTTCTTCAATTTTTCTACATATACATGTATGCATTTCTATATTAGCATTCCAGTCAATCTTGTGATAAATGACATTAATGTTGTACACAGAGTGATAGAGAAATCAGAGATATATGTGATATTATTATAAGAGCAGCTTGCAGCCCTTGAATCTCTTACAGATCTTGAGTTTTAAGATTTCCTTTATTTTTAGCATTTTTCAGGTGATTTGATGTTGAAAATAGATTAAATATATGATATATAAAAATGAATGAAATATGTATAATAACATTTATCTTTTACAGCTGACTCTTACAGTTGATGATCAATTCATTATTTCTTTTCTTATGCTTTTTCTTTATCTGCTAGTTACTACTCTTATACAATCTCTATATAATACAGTGTTCAGTGACTAGATTCAGCAGCTTTCATCTTTTGTAATTCTGTCTTACATATTATACTGTCTCTCTTTACTTGCTCAGACTACTACAGTGAACAGCTCATTAAAACTAATCTCACTCAATCTCTGAGTGTTCTCAGAGATTAAGATGACTTAGTCTCATATGTCTGCAAATGTTTCAGATAGTTCATTCTCTGTGATCTCTGTAATTGAACTAATGTAAACAGTTGAATTCAACTCTGAATTTCTTTTTCTTCTATAATCTGACTCATGTATAAGTCTACTGCTTTGAGACTGCTCTTTACTGTGTTGCATCTACTATCTGTGATATATTATTATATAATCAGCTACAGTCTCATTACTTATTGAAGTGTTATATTTATCTAATTTCTTCATTACTTTTCACTCTTTTCTTATAATTATGAAAAGATCAGAATAAGTAAGATCATCTGATTTATAAGTATCTATGATTTCTCTTATCTCATAAGACTTTTTAATTGTAAGTCTCTTCTTTTTCAACACTGATAATAGTGCTGTGAATAATTATAATCTGCTCAGATCTTGCATCTTTACTTTTATAAGTTATGAATTATTTATTAAGTTGTGTAAGACTCATCTCTCTGATTCTTTCAATGTGTATATTCTCAGAGAATGTGA